GTGCCGGCGGCTCAAAACAAACAGGCGGATGCTTTGTCGCGCAAGCCGGAGTATACTCGGGGTCAAGAAGATCCCTCAGAGTCCTGCATTTTGCGCCCAGAGAACTTTGCGCTCGCCGGAGTATCGGGACTCCCTTCGACTCTGGCGGAAAGGATCCGAGCGCGGCAGCAAGAGGACTTGTGGGTGCAAGAGCAACTGGAGGCCGGACTAAAGTTTCCTTTTCAAGAGTTGGATGGGGTGCTGTGTCATCGTTCAAAGGTCTATGTGCCGGCCGGTCCCGAGCGGGAGGAAATTTTAAAGCTTTGTCATGACACCAAGCCAGCAGGGCATTTCGGGATCTTTAAAACAATGCAGTTGGTGCTGAGAGACTTTTGGTGGCCCAAGATTCGGCAAGAGRTTGAGAAATATGTCAATGGGTGCCCTGTTTGTCACCGTGCTAAGAACTCTATGGGCAAGCCGGCTGGTTTGCTACAACCTTTGCCCACTCCGAGTCGGCCCTGGGAAATCGTGTCGGCCGACTTCATCACGGATTTGCCAGAATCTCAAGGTTTCACCACCATTTTGGTAGTGGTGGATCTCTTCACCAAGATGGGACATTTCATTCCCTGTGTGGGAGTGCCTACCGCTAAAGAGACTGCCGATCTGTTCCTGGGTCACATCTTCCGTCTTCATGGACTGCCATCGAGTTTGGTGACCGATCGTGGTGCCCAATTTACCTCGCATTTTTGGAAGGAGATTCAGCGGCAGTTAGGCATCGAGAGTCGAATGTCGTCTGCACACCATCCACAATCCGATGGCCAGACCGAAAAGACCAACGCCACCCTTGAGCAATATTTGAGATGTTTTGTGAACTATCAACAGGACAATTGGTCATCGCTTCTTGCTGTAGCAGAGTTCGCTTATAACAATGCCGCTCACGGGTCGACCAAGGAAGCTCCGTTTTTTGCTAACTATGGATATCACCCCCGGTTCTTTCCTTCACTGGTGAGCTCAGGAGAGGTCCCTGCCGCTACCACTTGGCTGCAGGAACTCTCAGCGATTCAAGAGATTTTAAAGGCTCAACTGGAGCAAGCCAAAGAGGATTACAAACGAGTGGCAGATACTCATCGGCAGCCGGGTCCATCGATCCAAGTGGGAGATCGAGTTTGGCTGTCCACCAAACATTTGCCTATACAACGTCCCTCTCGAAAGCTTGACGCTCGTTTTGTGGGACCATACCTAGTGGTGGAACAATTGAATCCTGTGACCTTTAAGTTAAAGCTTCCGCGTGGCTTGCGGATTCATCCTGTTTTTCATCGATCGTTGCTCAAGCCCGCCACGGAAGTCCGGCCGGATGCTGGCGGGGCCCCTCCACCGCCCCYGATTTTACTTGATGGAGAAGAGGAATTTGAGGTGGCGGACATTTTGGACTCTCGCCGTTATCATCGCAAGTTGCAATACTTGGTGGATTGGGTGGGATATGGTCCTGAAGAGCGCTGTTGGGTAGATGCTCGAGATGTTCATGCTCCT